TCTTACCTAAGTCACATACTTACTTAAATATCAACTTGCTTCAACATTTGCATACTCTGTGAGCACCTCTTATTGGCCAGATCCTGAGCCAGAAGCTGGAAGTTCGCTGCTGTTGTTGTTTTAAAGACTATAGCATCAAAATCTAGTAAGGGAGGGAAATGTGGCTCACAGAAACACCATTCACTGTGAAAGGTGCAATTATGAGAGACACCAAAGGATGAGCAGTCATCTCAATTTGGAAGGCAAGGGTAGGCTTTTTGGATGATGGTATTTGGGCCTTACATGGACTGAGCAAAAGCCCATTTCATGCAGTGAGAGCAGTATGTATGAAATATAGTGTAAAACAAAATGGTGTGTTGGGGAACAGTTCAGTATGGCTGGAGTATAGGGCCCATGAACAAGTGGCTAGACATGACACTAGAGAGGTAGGCAGACCTTTCTGGCCAGCACAGGAATTTGAACTTTATGACAAAGGCAATGAGGAATTAATACAGGGCTTAACAGTAGCATATGGCTCCGGTTGTATTTTGGAAAGCTCATTCCTGGCAGTGTTGTGGCAAAGGCAGAGAGGAAAATCTAGAGCAGCAGTGTCCCAGAGAACTTTCTCCAGTGATGGAAGTGCTCTGTAATTTGTCCTGTCCAATACAACAGCTGCTAGCCACACAGGGCTAAAGAGAACTTAAAATGTGGCTAGGGCACCTGAGGAACTAAATTTAAAACAGTATTTAGTGTTAAACAGCCACATATGGCTAGTGGCCACCATAATGAACAGTGCAGCTTTAGAGATAAGCAAATCAGTTAGGAAGCTGTTGATAGAGCTCAGGTGACTAGGGCAGACGGTGAGTCAATAGCTGTATCAGAGGCACAACGATAAGTCAAGGGGATACAAAACTGTGAGAAAAATAAATCAAGAACAGCTCCCAGATTCTAGGTTTTTTGGCTGAATTACTGCTATCAGCTAGGATAATACATTAACAGAAGGAGCAGGTCTAGGCTGCACATAGGTTGCACCGTTTTGAAAGTGTGGAAGTGTCTGAGGGCTATCTAAGTGGTAAATTACTGAGTTTTGCTCAGGAGTTGACTGAACTAAAGATACAGATTTGAGAGGCTCTGAGCCACTGAGTGAGATTCCTTAGAAAATATGAACACAATTAGAAGCAAACTGAGGCAAAATCCGGGCACTCATCAACACAGGCTAAAGAAGAGTCCACGAAGGCCACCAGAGCAACAGTAGGACAAGCAGGAAAAGAAACAAGTGAGAAGTAGTCACAGAAATCAAGGGTGTAGAGAAATTCAGGAAGGAAGCCTGATCAAATGTCAAATACTTCAGTGAGGTCAAATAAGGTGAGAGCTGAAAAGTGCTTCCTGATTTTGCCAATTAGAAGGTCCTTGGTGACATTTGCCAAGACAGTGTCAGTAGTGGAAGAAATGGGGTAAAGAACAGGAAATGAGGCAGAGAGGAAAATTAACACAATTTCAGGTCTTGACTGGAAAGGGGAGCTGACCAGTAAGTACATAAGAGTCCACAAGGGGATATGATATTGATTAAGGTTATTTTCTTTCTTTCCTTAATTTTAGGTGGGGAAAACCCCTAGAAGGAAGGGAGCAGTTTAAAACGCCAATTGGTTGAAAATGGAAAGCTTGAAAAGAATAGAAAAATAATAATAATAAAGAAACAACAACAAAAAAAGAAAATGGAAAGCGTGAGTAACAGATCGGGTTGACAGGTCGAAAGGAAAATACGTGTCTTTAATCCGAAGAGAGGGCTTTTAGTACTGATACAATAATAAAGAGACACACACGCGGCCGTACACAGGTGGGAAACGGAAAGCCAAAGAGTTCTCCAGTAAGTTGGCCTTTCTGCTCCGGTCTGTGGGAGGGGAGTGAGGGTAAAGAACTACAGACTGAACCACCATCTGAGGGTCATGGGTGGGATTACTGCCCAGGAATAAAGCTTTAGGGGCCAACCATCCCTTGTTACCAAATTCGGAAGCCTCTGTGCCTCCCGCACAGCAAGGCTCATCAATTTGGGAGAGAGCAAGGTTCATTACAAAATCATACCTGGGTGGCTCAAGCCCTAAGAATCCCAGAGTTGCTCAAAGCAAAAGGAAGTGATCAGAAAGCTATTAAGTTTTGCAGCATGCAGAATCGAGACACCCCCCTCTCCCCGCCGCCCCGCAGCACTCGATGAAGTAAGGAAGTCTAGGTAGACTCAGGCGAATTGAGAGGTTACGGGCCTAAGACAAAGAGGTCGAACACAATGCCCACGTGAACCGCCCACACCTCCGCTCCCCGCCGCAGGCACGAAGAGGGTGGTGACAACACTCCCGCTGTGGAACCACACTACACCGCGGAGGGACCCCACCCTGCAAACCCTCACAACTCCGGGTCCAGGCCCCATCCTCCTCCACTGACAACAGCTCAGCAGCGCGCGCTCCCGCTGGACTCCGCGCCCGGGCGTCCCAAGCCAACCCTCACACCTGCGGAAAAGGAACCGAGTTGGGCCACCTCAGGACGCCCAGCGAGGCCGCCTGCAGTGGGGGATGGGCTGCTAAGGCGGGAGGGCGCGCGCCGCGCCCGATTCCGCGCCACCCACTGCGCGCGCTCCGAGCCCAGCCGCGGGGGGCACGGCGCCCGCCCTCACGCCTGCGCACTGCCGCTCTCCCGGCGGCCTCCCACTCTCCTTTCCCCTCCCCCAAGCCGGTCGCAGCCTTGCGCCTGCGCTGTGCACGTTCCCGGGCTGCGGCAGCCATGCTGAACCCGTACGGCGCGACTAGTGGGGGGGTAGGGTCGAGGACAGCGGGATAGACAGCCGAGGATGTGGAGAAGCAGCGACGTTAGGGTGTTTTGGGTCTGTAGAGAAAGGCCTGGGCCACGCGGCCCCCTTGGCCCCTTGCACGACCCCCGAGAACCTTCGGAAAGACCGGCCCCCGGGGATGGTGGGGAGCGGGGGGGTGGCGGGCACGTGACCCGGATCGGCCAATCTGGGGGACGCTGACGTGGCCGCGCGGTCCCGATGCTCTCCCCACCCCCAGCTCGGCCGGGAAGGGAGGGGCTGGGGGCTACGCCCCCTCCCCCAACGCAACCTCAGTTTCCGGGGGGGGTGACACCCCGGATTACATCCTCCCCCCGCACCAAGCCAAGGGGAACAGTGGAGCCCCCCTGGAAGGTTCCGGGATCCAGGTGAGAAGGGGCCCTTGCCGGGCGGGCATGTTATCAGTCATTTAAATGCCTAACCAGTGGTGGGGAGTCCGAGAGGGAGATTCTTGGGGTGCAGAGAAGAACCCTGAGGTGGGAGCACTTGTCCTTCAAACAGTTTACAGCCAATGGGAGCGGGGAGGGGGCGAGCAGGCGAGGGCCTCTCGAGTGGGGGAGGGGAATGGCCAACCTCTGTCTTCTTACCAATTGGAGGGCAAAGGGGCGTGGGGGCGGTGTGTCCCCTCGATTCCATTCGTCCCTTGGGGGTACAGGAGCCTGGAGCCAGGTGAGAAGGGGTCCTTTTGGCAGCCGGAGGGTGGGGTGGTCTAGTGGGCTGAGGAGTGGGAGTAGTGACTGTAGTTCCTACTCCTAGAGGGGGATGCTGAGAGTTGGCAACCCAGGCTGTGAACTGAGATTGTTCCAGGCGCCCACTCCCTTTCTCCCCAGAGGCTGTAGAAGGAGCATTTCTGTGCTGCTTTTGTGTCAGCGGTAGGAACCTGGCAGTCCACATGGCATGGTGGAGGTTACGCTTCGAGTGGCTTATCGAATTTGTGTGCATTCACGTGGACCTGGCCTGCGGAGCCCTCTGAATAAACCTTGGTTGCCCCGGTGGGGGTCTTAGCTTAGCATGTGTCTATCACAGGCTGGGGAGAGTTTGCAGGCTAGAAGCTCGGGGTCTTCTTTGGATCAGGAACCAGGCCCAAGGGGGGTCTCGGGAGAGGTTGGAAATTGTGGCTTGAGACACAGGAGAGTGAATCTCGGGACCTGGAATGATTTCACAGCTCCCCAAGTTTCAGTTTTCTCCTGGGTGGTGTCTTTTGCCGTCTTCATCCCCTCCCCCATTCCTGAACAGTCTCTCCTTGTGTATTGCGGGGGAGGGAACGGAAAGAAGGGAAGAGTTACTTTTCCAAATTACTGAGTACCAGTAGCCTCCCGTGTGACTCATTTGGGGGAAGGGACGATTGGGAGGCAGGAGAGAACAGCGATTTTCCGGAATGCAGGGAAATAAGCCAGAATGTCTGGCTGCCCTTCTACTTTCTAATAAGGCCCTGTGGTCTCTCGACCTCCTAACTTCTTCTTCCCTGACCGGCCCTCAGATAGGCCTCTGTGCAGACTTGCAAGGCCCCTCGTGGAAGAAAGGCAGATTTGGGAGGCTGGGCCGGGAGGGGGAGGGGAGAAGGCCTTTGCGAAAGTTGCTGTGTCATTGCTCTCCTTGCTGCAGCCACCCGGGCGGGCCCGCTGGTACTTTTGAGGCCGAGGCCTGATCGGAGGGGGGGGAGGAGAGGAGAGACTGCCGCCCCTGTGCGTGCTTCCCCCCCACTCCCGCAGGGTTTGCCCGAGTCTGGTGGTCGAGAAGACGAAAGGTTGACGGCCATTTTAGACGCAGTAACCAAGGTTAAGGGCTGCTACGAACGAAAGAGGGTAACAGTTCGAGGACTTACGCCCTCAAGAAGCCCTGCGGTTGGGGGGGGGGGGCTCTTATATTCGTTGATTTACATGATTAATTTCCTTCTTCAGATACGCATAGGTTTTTCTTACTTGGTAGCCAGAAAAGGGGACGAGGAGGAGGGGAGAGGGCCCCCAACTAAAGGCTGGGCGGGGAAATTCTTTCCCTCTCCGGTGGCTCTAGCGACCCTAACCTCGCGCTGCGGCTCTATTCACACGTAGTCTGTAACCTTATTCGGGTTACTGGGTGGTGGGAAAGATTGAGTGGGCTGGGGGGAGGGGGCGAAATTGAGCTCCCAAAATGGCTCCTGCCCCTCCTCGGAGGCGGACGGCCTGGGGGGAGGGGGGAGGGGAGAGGAGGGGGAGGGCTAGTCAGAGCCGCAGCCGCCGCCTCCTCCGCTCGCCCTCCTCCCTGGCGCTGACCGATAGACCAGCCGCTCCGTGGGGAGGACTCCGGACCCTCGTGGGGGGGATGGGGGAGCCCTTCTGCCCCCCGACGCCAGGACCCTCAGAGGGGGTGCGGCCCGCCTTCGGAGTGGGGGGAAGGGCGGGGAGCGTGGGGAGAGGTCTGAGCTCGCCAGGAGGGGGAGGGTGCGCACCCTGATTCGCCCCTCGAAGGCCTTGTTTTTTCCGCTCTGAGCCAGACACCGGAGAGAAGTTTGGGGAGGAGGTGGGTTTCATTTTGCAGGGTATACGGGTGCTTTTGTTGGAGATTTTGCTCCCACTAAAGGGTTGCCGAGTTTTTGTCGACCAGGTAGATGTTTGTATTGGTAATTGAAGGTATCAGAGGGAGGGGATTGAAGAGGTGCTTGGGGTGCAAGTATTTAGAACGTGGTCTCCGTATAGTTGCCTTGAAGAGAAGCCTTTGAGTTCACAGAGGGTAGACGATTATGGGGAGCGTTTTTTATTTCGATTGCTTGGCCTGGGGAAGGAAGGGGATGATTTGAAGGCTCTGGTAATTCTGCACTTTTAATTGCGAAGCACAGGAACGTTAATTTCCTTCCTCGCTGTGTTTGGGAGCCTTCAGCCGTTTGCCAGAGTGGCAGGCCGCGGCTTCTAAGATGGCGTCTTCTTCCTCCTTTCAGGTTCTTCACTGCGGCGGCCGCCTCAATCCCGAGAACAACCACCGCCGGCGTCCTGTGGCCACACCCCGGCGGGCCGAGCCTGGCTACGCCCACGCGGCCCCCCTCCAGTCCTGCGGCCTGGCCAATGGAGGAGCTACGAATGGCACGACCTGCCCAAGCTTGGCAGTCGCCAGCGGCACTGGGCTTGGACGGCTGGAAAGACTTTGTTGGAAGGGGAGGCAGGGAGAGGGTGCTGCACCCCTGCCAACCTCCCTCTTTCCCTGGAGTTGCCGAACCACAGCGCAGCCAATTGGCTCAGAGATGTGGCGGGTTGCCGCTTCCCTGGGGGTCTATGCGGCACTCTTCTGCCTGGTGACTGACGCTTTGGAAATGAGGTTTATGACGTCATCGCTTCCGCCGACCAATAGGAAACGCTCCCGCGGAGAGGTGTTCCTCCCCCTTCCACTCTGCTTCTTCACGCGCGTGAGCGAGCGAGCGCGCGCGGAGGGGGTGGGGGAAATCGCGAGCACGGTGGCGCGCATGAGCGGCGAAGCTCCTCCCCCTTGCCTATATATAAAGGGCTGGCGCGGGGCTCAGAGGCGCCATTTCGCGCTGGAGTGGAGCAGCCTCTAGAACGAGCTGGAGGATTCTGCGTATCTACACAGAGCCTTCGAGTCGTCTGGGGCCGCCATTACAATCCACGTCCATCCGCTTGGAAATGGCCTTCGTCTCGGCCTATGACCGGCCCCGGCGGACAGTACAGACCCCATAGAAGCCCCCGAAGCTCCCCTTTTTCGGGCCCCGCCCAGTTCTCGGAGTCTGTCCACCCCCTCTACTCCGCCCTCAAGAGGATTTCAAAGATGGAGGCGGCGGCTCCCTAAACCACTTTCGTGTTCATCCGCCTCCATCCGAGATCGAAACGGGACCTCGTCCGCCCCGGACGGTCCCGGCAGGAAGAGGGGATCCTTGCAGACCAACGGCGGGCAATATTGGCGACGGTGTCTGGGATTGGGGGCCGTCCTGGGGTTTGAAGAGCCCGTCCCCTTTCGCTCGCCCGCCTCAGCTGGGGCCGCCGCCATTTTCTCGCTGTCCGCCTCCTGCGGAGCGCGCCAAGCTGCTGGGAGTTCTCCGAAGAACAGCAGAGGAGATTGCTTTCGTGCCAGCCCGGCGGGGTGGGTTGTCGCCTGGAGGGCCGAGGGCAACGGCCCCCGCCCTCCCCCCACTTCCCGGGTTATGCTGGACCGGGAGGTAAGGGGAACCGAGGCCACCCGGACTTTACGCGGCTGAGGGCAGCGCCGGTTCCCTGTGGTCAAGATGCTGCAAAACGTGACTCCCCACAACAAGTACGTCCCTGCGAGCCGCGTGTGGGAGGGGGGCGTTGGGGGGCTGCGGCGCGCGGGCGTGAGGTGTTGGGTTCGGAGGGAGTGCGGAACCGACTCGGGCGCGTTGCTGTTGCGTGGCGCAACTATTGGTTGTCGAGGCTCGCGGAGCAGAGGGGTGAGCGGCGGTTTGGGGACCGTGCTGGCGGCCCCAGGTCCTACGAATGGAGGGAGCACAGGTAGTCAGTTTACACATTACTTTTCCGCTGTGGTCAGATCTTGGCTGGGTTGGGCAGAGCGAGGTGGCGGCGGAGTATGTAGTGGGGGAGGACTTTGATTAGGCGGCAGGTCCTGGGGGTCTGGTGTCTAAGCGACCGTTTGTCAAGCCTTCTGGGGCGGGGGTTCGTGGCCACATTTTGTGCTTTACAGGGTTGCCATGGTGATAGAGCTTCGGGGACTGGAAACGGGGATTCCCTGAGTAGGGTACAAGGACCCTTCTTACCCTGGGTACCTAATGTCGGGGATAGGTCTTTTAAGTTCTTGATTTTCGGTGAGTGGTTTGGTTTTGTGTTGAGAGGTGTGTGTTTTGTTGCAGACGGATTTTTTTCTCGCGCGCGGGTGTGTGTGTGTGTGTGTGAGTGAGTGAGAGGTACCATTGAGAGTTTCCTTCAGGGTAGAAAGGTGGAGCTAAGCACTCTTTAGTCCAGCTTTGGGGATGTAAACAGAGATCTCGGTCTAATGTCTGTAGGGTTAGGCCTTGGGTAACACCTGGTCTTGAGGAACCCCAGAGAGAATGTAAACTTGATGCACTGTTGGCCTTTGATCTCTAGAGGTGATGCTAACAGTGGAACCTGTTAATGGCATCGCAGTTTTTGGCAGAGGTTGGGTAGGGGGAGGTCTGTATCACTTTTATGAGGAAATTTGCTGACCTTGACTGTTTGGACAGCTCTATTTTTTGAGTCCCTTAGAGGGAGGAGACTGAATTTGCGAATAGTTAATTCCTGGAGGCTGGTGACTTGAGGTATTCCAGACTGTGAAGTCTGACAAATACTCCCTTGTCTGATTCCTTTTTTTTTTTTGAGTTGGTACGGTTTTCCGTTAGATCGCTGGCCCGTTGTTTGGAGTTAACTATTTGGAGCTTCATGGAGGCTGCTGATCCCTTCTCACAGGTGAATTCTTAGGTGTCTGCCTCATCAGCGATTTATGAAAATTTCATATTTTCTTTTTATCCGTTCCCCTCAGGCTCAACCACCATGGCAACCACCAAGCCCCTAGTGAGGAGGAAGCTTGGGACTTGAGTTTCTTGGCTCCACCCATTTTGCTTAAGTTCTGTCCCCGAGAGGTTGTGATTCTTAAATGGCTGGGCCCTATGAGAAGCTACTTGGGCTACTTTTTCCCTTTAAAACAGGTGAAGAAGCCTATCAGATTTTAAGAATTCAGAAGATAGGGCTTCTGTGGGCATAAAAAAAGGTGATAAGAGGTACAAAATAAAAAGCTCCACGGACTGTTTGGATACGAGATTCGTTTTCATAAACTTGACCACTGTTTTCTCACTATTCCAAGCCTAGATGTGCTGAGGGTACATAGTGCAAATCTGTGAATTGTGGAATTCTACTAAATTCCACCAGATTACCACATCTGATTTTGTTTCCTATCTTCACAGGCTCCCTGGGGAGGGGAATGCAGGGTTACTGGGCCTGGGCCCAGAAGCAGCAGCGCCTGGGAAAAGGATTCGAAAGCCCTCTCTATTGTATGAGGGATTCGAGAGCCCCACAATGGCTTCAGTGCCGGCTTTGCAACTAACCCCTGCCAACCCACCGCCTCCTGAGGTGTCCAATCCCAAAAAGCCAGGACGGGTTACCAACCAGTTGCAATATCTGCACAAGGTGGTGATGAAGGCTCTATGGAAACATCAGTTTGCATGGCCCTTCCGGCAACCTGTGGATGCCGTCAAACTGGGTCTGCCGGTAAGTAGAGAGGTTCGAGTGGGGAGGTATGGAAATGAAAAAGAGTGCGTGTGCGTGGAGGTGGGCTGCCGAGTGTAGGTGCTGCGGCCCCTAGGGAGCTCCCATTTCTACCCGGTAGGGCAGATAGCCACCAGATTTCTAGATTTTTGGTCCTTTGTAATTGATCCAACCGCTTGCTATCTAGGATCTCATTGTGTCCTTCCTTAACTTTTGTGCCCTGGCTCCATTTTACAGATTCCCACCCCAGGTTGGGAGAGGACCACGGTGGCCAAAATTCTTAGCTTCTTCCTTTCCCTCATGCAGCCCATGGATAGCCAGCCCCAGAGGTAATGTCACAGGATGGGAAACTTCCAGAGTGGGTGGGAGATGGGTGGTTAGAGCAAGGCAATAGAGGTCTCCTTACGGGTGATCCAAGTCCTGTTCAATTTTTTATCCCTATCCCATAGTTTTAATTGGGGCCGCAGTTGAGGAGACTTATGTATGTACTCCTCTGACAGACTTGGGGTGTGTGTGTGTGTGTTTGTTGGGATTGGTAGTTTGCCTAAGAACAGGCATTTTTCTTTCTGTGGTCTGACCTACCACTTCTTTCTTTAGGATTATCACAAAATTATAAAGCAGCCTATGGATATGGGTACTATTAAGAGGAGACTTGAAAACAACTACTATTGGGCTGCCTCAGAGTGTATGCAGGATTTCAACACCATGTTCACCAACTGCTATATCTACAACAAGGTGAGCTTTTGTGTGTTGTTGTTGGGGTGGGGGAGAGTGCATTTCTTATCACTACTTTATCATTGTAAAGTTTAAATCTTTTATTGAAGGTGTTCTCAGTAGTTTGGTATCTAGAAAATCTGTTTTGCCAAGGTACCACTGAAAACAGTGATGTGGTTTCAGAGATCCAGAATTAAGTACAACACTTCTGATGTTGTGAATAGTGGCCTTATTTCTTAGAGATCTCCAGAGACCTGAGAAGAGGAGGGAACTGATCAACTCTGAATCTCTCACTTCTTTTCTTTGTTGCATTTTGAGGGGCAAACTTGGAAGAGATAAAGGGGAAATTAGTGGCCCAATATAGGTAATTTTTAGTACTTTGATGAAGTTGTGTAAGGGAGTGGTGCTGATGCCTGGGGCTAGGTATTTCCAGAGAAAATGGTTTTACCTCCCTCTCCCTAACATTTGAACTTTTTGTGTTTCCTGTAGCCCACTGATGATATTGTCCTGATGGCACAAACGCTGGAAAAGATCTTTCTGCAGAAAGTGGCATCAATGCCACAAGAAGAACAAGAACTTGTGGTTACTATTCCTAAGAACAGCCACAAGAAAGGGGCCAAATTGGCAGGTAGGAAGAGAAGGAGTTTTGCCAATAGAGACCAAAAGATGGGAATGATAATCAAACTAAACTCTTTTTCTCCCCCTCCAGCGCTCCAGGGTAGTATCACCAGTGCCCATCAGGTGCCTGCTGTCTCTTCTGTGTCTCACACTGCCCTGTATACGCCACCACCTGAGATACCTACCACTGTCCTCAACATTCCCCACCCGTCGGTCATCTCTTCTCCCCTTCTCAAGTCCTTGCACTCCGCTGGACCCCCACTCCTTGCTGTCTCTGCAACTCCCCCTGCACAGCCCCTTGCCAAGGTATACATCTGTGGATATCTTTGGGGTAATGAGGGAAAGGTCTTAAATGGGGTGGATCCAGAGTAAAAGGCACCTGTCTTTTCTCCACAGAAAAAAGGGGTAAAGCGGAAAGCAGATACTACCACCCCTACACCTACAGCTATCCTGGCTCCTGGGTCTCCAGCTAGTCCTCCAGGGGGTCTGGAGCCTAAGGCAGCACGGCTCCCCCCTGTGCGTAGAGAAAGTGGCCGCCCTATCAAGCCCCCACGCAAAGACTTGCCTGACTCTCAGCAACAACACCAGAGTTCCAAGAAAGGAAAGCTGTCGGAACAGTTAAAACATTGCAATGGCATTTTGAAGGAGTTACTGTCCAAGAAGCATGCCGCCTATGCCTGGCCTTTCTATAAACCAGTGGACGCTTCTGCTCTTGGCCTGCATGACTACCATGACATCATTAAGCACCCCATGGACCTCAGCACTGTCAAGGTACCCACTGCATGGGGCAGATGGGATACTCAGGCAGTGATTGGAACCCAAGGATCAATAAAACAGTCACTTCTTACGGGCATGCAGCTATCTTGGCGTTTTACTTTTTCAAAATAGTGAGGTAGAAGGTCACGTACTCTAATACAGTGAGTCCACAGTTTCTGGAATTGGAAATACTGTGGTGGGTTTTACGTTCAGGGCATCTTTGCTTCTACTTAGGTCCTGTCTATTGGAAGTGTTGGGCTAGGGTTAGAGGGGAATAAAGGGGGTAGTCCAATAGTTAGAGGCCACACACACCCCTTTTCACTTAGAAATACTGATTTTTTTTTTTCCCCTAGACATACATATTTCTTCAGCCCACCCAAATTCCTTTGACTTCAAACTTGAGCCCCAGGGTATAGATCCGGTCACACATGTCCCACCCCCCACTGTGCTGTCTAGAGGGCTGTTCTTGGCAGTGTCTGGGCCTGGCAGGGAAAGGTGAGTCTCCCTGCCTGTGCAGCTTCTGATGCTGCCTCCTTCTGCAGCGGAAGATGGAGAATCGAGATTACCGGGACGCACAGGAGTTTGCTGCTGATGTGCGGCTTATGTTCTCCAACTGCTATAAGTACAATCCTCCAGACCATGATGTTGTGGCCATGGCGCGAAAGTTACAGGTGAGTATTAAGGCCAAAGTTTGAAGAATAAGTGGATCTGAGGAAAGGAATTTTGCCATATGTGCTGCATAGCCTGAACGTGAGGCTCTCACCATCTGTACACTTGTACATTGGAGCTGCCACATGGCTAGGTGTGATGAGGGCATATCTACTAGCCTGGTTTTGAGTCTGCTGTCCCTTTCTAGGATGTATTTGAGTTCCGTTATGCCAAAATGCCAGATGAACCACTGGAACCAGGGCCCTTACCAGTCTCTACTGCCTTGCCCCCTGGTTTGGCCAAGTCATCTTCAGAGTCCTCCAGTGATGAAAGTAGCAGTGAGAGTTCTTCTGAAGAAGAGGAGGAGGAAGATGAGGACGATGAAGAGGAGGAAGAAGAGAGTGAGAGCTCTGACTCCGAGGAAGAAAGGGCTCATCGCTTGGCTGAACTACAGGAACAGGTATTCTATCACTGTTGAGTTTACTGGATGAGGTTCGTGCTGTCTTGGCTTAATTTTTTTTTTTTTTTTTTTTTTAGTTTTTATTGCTTAACCTATGTATTTTTTCAATTTAATTTCTCTTTTCTCTCAAGCTTAGAGCAGTACATGAACAACTCGCAGCCTTGTCCCAAGGCCCAATATCCAAGCCCAAGCGAAAGAGAGAGAAAAAAGAGAAGAAGAAGAAACGGAAGGCAGAGAAGCACCGGGGCCGAGCTGGGGTTGATGAGGATGACAAAGGACCTCGGGCACCCCGCCCATCACAGCCCAAGAAGTCCAAGAAAGCGGGTGGCGGTGGGAGTGGCAGCACTGCTACACTAGGTCCTCCTGGCTTTGGACCTTCTGGAGGAGGTGGCCCCAAGTGAGTTCTAACAGGGAAGGAAGCAGGGATTTCTCCCATTGCTGGCAAAAGTTTTCTCTAAATGGGGCCAGTGATTTTTTTTTCTAATGTTAAGTGTCCAGATGATGAAATAGACCTTGAAGAACATAGGGTCTTTAGAAGCTTCTTAACTGTTGACAGTGTAATCTGCCTACCCCTTCTCTAAGCCAGTCTATACTCTTTTGAATATTTTTTTTTTCTGTAGTCAGGGATGGGTTAGTCCTTCAGGTACCAAAAAAAAAAAAAACCTGTGCTGACATACTTGTATTTATTTTTCAAAGCCCAACCAAGATTAATATAAAATACTTGCTGTGTAAAGCTCTGCTCCCGATACGCAAGTGTCCTATAGCCCATCTCTGATTCACTCACTCATTTGCCTTAATGGAAACAGTTCTTCAGGTGTAAAATCCAGATCACTGGATTTGAACAGAATGTGTTGAGGAGGTAATGTGTTCCCCCAACTGATAATTTTCTTTTGCTCAGACTCCCCAAAAAGGCCGCAAAGACAGCCCCACCTGCCCTGCCTGCTGGCTACGACTCAGAGGAGGAGGAAGAAAGCAGGCCCATGAGTTATGATGAGAAGCGGCAGTTGAGCCTGGACATCAACAAGCTGCCCGGGGAGAAACTGGGTCGTGTCGTGCACATAATCCAAGCCAGGGAGCCTTCTTTACGTGACTCAAACCCAGAAGAAATTGAGATTGATTTTGAAACACTCAAGCCGTCCACGCTTAGAGAGCTTGAACGTTACGTCCTTTCCTGCCTGCGAAAGAAACCTCGGAAGCCGTATAGTGAGTATGAAATGAGATCCCCAAGTTAACTTAGCAACAAGTCCTTGTGTGTTCTGAGGACAATTTAGAGAAGGATGGCGGGGAGGTATGCTTGATGTTCCTGGGGTGATGGGTTGCATTAATAGTTGCTTAAGTTCAAGAAAGGCATTTGGCAACAGCAGGGTCAAGGAAACCAGAGTGCTCCTGGCTATGTTAGTCCTGGTTTGTTTCTTTTCTAGCTATTAAAAAACCTGTGGGAAAGACAAAGGAGGAACTGGCTTTGGAGAAGAAGCGGGAACTAGAAAAGCGGTTACAAGATGTTAGTGGGCAGCTCAATTCTACCAAAAAGCCCCCCAAGAAAGGTGAGTGTCCCATAAGCCACTGTGAATTCATTCTATCCTGCCCTCTTGGCTCTTGGTTCTTCAAAAGTGGAATGTAGACTTACACATCTTTAAACTTCACCTGTGTTCTTTAGCGAGTGAGAAAACAGAGACATCCTCAGCACAGCAGGTAGCAGTATCCCGCCTCAGCGCTTCCAGCTCCAGCTCGGATTCCAGCTCCTCCTCTTCATCTTCCTCCTCTTCAGACACCAGTGATTCAGACTCAGGCTAAAGGGCCAGGCCAGATGGGGCAGGAGGCTCCGCAGGACCGGACCCCTAGACCGCCCTGCCCCGCCCGCTCCCTCCCTGTGCTGACACTCCTCATCTCACCCCTCCCCCCTCTGTGAGAGAGCTGGCTCTGCAGGGGCGGGGGACAGAAAAACGGACAAAGGAGGACTGAGCTCCCAGCCCCATGGAGAGTGCCCTCTTCGGCATAGAGCCCCCATTCAGAATGGCTGGGGCAGGCAGGGGTATCGGGTGGGAATGGGCAGAGGCCCTGATACAGCCTTACCTGAGGCCACAGCCGCCCTGTTCACTTAGAAGGGCCCTGTTTTGAGATTGTTTTAATTTATTTTAAGCTAGGTAAGGCTGAAGAGGGGTGGGGCCATGGTCCCTCAGCTTCCATGGGGAGGGAGGAAGGGGGAGCTCTTTTTTTACGTTGACTTTTTTTTTCTACTCAGTTTTCCCTTTTCCTTCTGCTCCATTTGGGGCCCCTGGGGGTTTCAGTCATCTCCCCAATTGGTCCCCTGGATTGTCTTTTCTTTGTCTGTTGATTCTAACTTGTAAATAAAGAAATATTATTCATGTTCTGAGTTCATTACCTTAATAACATTTGTTCTTGTAGTTGCTTCAAAACGAATACACTTGAGAATTTTGAGGAATGTGTATCAGGGCGGGGGGCAGTGGGCGGGAAGAAGGATCATCCTGTTTTAAATAAATCAGTCGGCTGTTGGCTGTGATAAAAGTGCATCTGCTCTTTGTAAAGTGAATCCTCCAAAATAACAAGGTTCAGAGTCTGCTCTGATTTACATGCAGCCAACACCTGGCTCCTTCGGCCAAGAGTTTCAAACTCAGGACTTTGAACAGGCTCAGATTTTTCTCCAGTCCTGGATGTGTGGATTATCTCCTGAACACTTAAGTTACCAGGTAGATGTGAAAGAGATGAGAGTAGCCAACAGTGGGTTCCCTCTTGCATTGGGCATCTGCCTGAAGGGGCAGGTGTGCCTATTTTCATAATTTGCTGGTTTGGCTTCAAATTGCATGTTTGCAGAGCTTTGCAAAGTTGCCTAATACAAATGCCAATTCACAGGATTCCAGCAGTCTACCAAATGGAAATCACAGAAACTCGTTTGCACAAGTCTATCCCTTTCTCTTGCTTAAGACAGAAGGGCTCTGTAGTTACAAATGAAACATTTGGGTTCCAGAATTTGGGGCCTTACACCATACAAAAGCAAGAGCTTTCAGTGTAATGGGCATGGTAGAAACTTTAATTTTTAAATGAAGGCTGGCTTATTCTATATGTTGCCAGAAACATGTAGAAATGATTGTGGTGATTTTGGAAATGCCAAAAGGTTGGGTTCTAGGAGAATCTCCACTCTTATTTGGACTCCAGAGCTGCTGAAAGCTAGTAACTTGGAATTGCATCTGAAGATTTTTTTGGCCATACCCTGTGGTTTGTGTGATCTTCATTCCCTGGCCAGGGATTGAACCCATGCTGGCAGTGAAAGTACTGAGTCCTAACCACTGGACCCCCAGGGAATTACCTAAATTCTTAAATTGAGGCCTGAGGAACAGCTCAAAGAGATAGTAACACACACCCAGGGTTGAGCTCGCTTGTAATTTTGCAAGGGCCTTGGATTTTTAAAGGGGAGGAGACCCGTGAGGGGGCTTCAAGCCAGCTTGTGAGTCTCTGAGTGACTCCCAACTGTGTTTAAACTCTTGTCCTGAAAGTTCAGAAGTACTTAATTGGAGTGGGATAGAATTTAACCTGGAAGAATAAAGGATTTCAATTAGATGTGTGTCTTTGCCTAGCACTATGTCACTTTTTTTTTTTTTGACGGGTGTTTTTTAAATATTTATATATATATATATATTTTTGACGGGTAATTTCATAAGGAAATCAAAATTCATTAATTTCTAATTCTACAGCTTGAAAATTGAGATACAACTTTTTGAAGTGCCAGCTTACAAAATGACTGTGTCACACTTAAAAGGGGGAGGTTTGAGTTAGTTTGGCAAGGAGACCAGTTAGAATCTTAATGTCTGTGGCTGTATCCCCTTCAAGTATTTTTAAATTGTGGTTTGGGAATATAAAGATTTCAACTCTCAAAAGGTAGGTGACTTTACCTGTTGTTCAGTTGCTAAGTTGTGTTTGACTCTGCAACCCAATGGACTGCAGCACACTAGGCTTCCCTGCCCTTCACCATCTCCTGGAGTTTGCTCCAACTCATGTCCATTGAGGACATCCAATGATCCCAACCTCTGTCACCCCCTTCTGCCCTCAGTCTTTCCCAGCATCAGGGTCTTTTCCAATGAGTCAGCTCTTCTAATCAGGTGGCCAAAGTATTGAGAGCTTCAGCTTCAGTCCTTCCAGTGAATATTCAGGATTGATTTCCTTGCAGTCCAAGGGACTCAAGAGTCTTCTCCAACACCAGTTCAAAGGCATCAATTCTTTGGCACTCAGCCTTCTTTATGGTCCAACTCACACCCATAAATGAGTTGGAAAAACCGTATCTTTGACTACAGATTCGGTGGCAAAGTGATGTCTGCTTTTTAATATGTTGTCTAGGTTGGTCATAGCTTTTCTTCCAAGGAGCAATCATCTTTTGTTAATTTCATGGCTGCAGTCACTGCAGTGATTTTGGAGCCCAAGAAAATCTGCCACTGTTTCTTTTTTTTTCCTATTTGCCATGACTTCCCTGGTGGCACAGATGGTAAAGAACCTGCCTGCAATGCAGGAGACCCAGGTTCAATCACTAGAGAAGATCCCTAGGAAGATCCCCTAGAGAAGGAAATGGGAACCCACTCCAGAATTTGCCTGGAAAATCTGATGGACATAGGAGCCTGGTGGGCTACAGTCCATGGGATCATAAAAGAGTCGAACACAGCTGAGTGACTGACATTTGCCTTGAAGTGATGGGACTGGATGCCACGCTCTTAGTTTTTTGAATGTTGAGTTTTAAGCCAGCTTTTTCACTTCCCTCTTTCACCTTCATCAAGAAGCTCTGTAGTTCCTCTTCACTTTCTGCCATTAGAATGGTATCATCTGCATATCTCATTTCTCCTGGTAATCGTGATTCCAGCTTGTACTTCATCCAGCTGGGCATTTCATGTTATGTACTCTGCATAGAAGTTAAGTGAGCAGGGGGACAATATACACCCTTGATGTATTCCTTTCCCAATTTTGAACCAGTCAGTTGTTGCATGTCTTGCTCTAACTTGCTTCTTGACCTACATACAGGTTTCTCTGGAGGCAGGTAAGGTGGTCTGATATTCCCATTCCTTTAAGAATTGTCCACAGTTTTATGATCCACACAGTCAACAGCTTTAGCGTAGTCAGTGAAGCAGAGGTAGGTTTTTTTCTGGACTTCTGCTTTTTCTATGATCCAGCAGATGTTGGCAGTTTGATACTCGGTAAGAGAAAGCAGCCTGGCTTCTCCCCTGGACTGCAAAACAGACTGAGACTGGGTGAGAGTGCCTCTGGACCTGGTTTACACCTCCTACCTTGCCACCTTAAGTAGGCAGTTTACCAGTGTGTGTGGATTTCTTGAGCATAAGTCTGTTGGTAGAGTCTTTGTCTTGGTCCCTGACCTTTGAGGTTGCCCTATGGCCCTTTGACTTACTTTTTCCCTTATCGAATTTGCTGGTCCAAACCTTAGCTCTACCCCCCCATCCCGTCTGCTTGAGGCATTGTAATGGTTTCAAGAGTCTGATCCCCATCTTAGTTGAAATTACTGCCTTCCAAAGTAACAAGCCACTTCCCTGGAGGCTCAGACAGTAAAGCGTCTGCCTACAATGTGGGAGACCCAGGTTCAATCCCTGGGTCAGGAAGATCTCCTAGAGAAGGAAATGGCAACCCACTCCAGTATTCTTGCCTGGGAAATCCCATGGACAGAAGATCGATAGGCAACAGTCCATGGGGTCACAAAGAGTTGGACACGACTGAGCGACTTCCCTTTCACTTTAACAAGTCAGTCTCCAGCTCAACCAGGAGGAAAAACAACTATGGGGTCCTACTGTGGGCAGTATTTCCTCCCATGCTCTTAATTTCCAGTTCTTACTGTAAGCATCAGTTCCACTGCTTCTGCTTTTATTTTTCCCTATTTCATGCCATTTACTCATCTTTAATGCTTCCATTTATTCAATCAACACATTTTATTGAGTTCTTTTGATTGTCTTTCTTTTTCAACAAACAGCATTACAGCAATACACCTAGATGTTGTCTAACTGTTAAGTCAGGAGGTGTGAGAGTGAAGATACAAGGCCCTTACCTTGTCTTTGAAGCATTATCAGTGCAGTTAACTTTCCTGGTGCAGTTATTGGACTGATCTGCTTCAAGATGAAGGCGTGACTTAATCTTCCAGATGATTCCTTCTAATTGAATCCCAGTGTGTACACCTCAGTTCAAGCCCTGCCTGCCTTGCTCTTACATTCTCTCAGGACTATACTGACTAAAAAAACTCGCTTCCCTGAGGGGCTCCTAGAATAAGCACCAAAGCTTGTTGGAGTTAACTGAAACTTGCCAAGAATAAGGCCGGGGAGGGCTCGCCGAGCAATGAGGAAGGGACTTGGAGCGCTGGGGAGGCTGAGCACTAAAGAACTGGTGCTCTCGAACTGTTCTGGAGAAGACTTGGGGCTTCCCTGGGGGCTTAGATGGTAGAGAAAATCTGCCTGCAGTGCAGGAGACCCAAGTTCAATCCCTGGGTTGGGAAGATCCCCTGGAGAAGAGAATGGCAACCCACTCCAGTATTCTTGCCTGGAGAATCCGTGGGCAGAGGAGCCTGGTGGGCTAGTCAATGGGGTCACAAAGAGTCGGACACGACTGAAGTGACAGCACAGAAGATGTTTTGAGAGTCCCTTGGACAGCAAAGAGATCAAACCAGTCAATCCCAAAGGAAATCAACCCTGAATATTCACTGGAAAAACTGAAGTTTGAAGCTCCAATACGTTGACCACCTGATGCTGGGATAGATTGAGGGCAGGAGAAGAGGGCGACGGAGAATGAGATGGTGGGATGGCATCACCGACTCTATGGACATGAGTTTAAGAAAGCATCAGGCGATAGTGAAGGACAGGGCAGCCTGGCATGCTGCAGCCCATGGGGCAGCACAGAGACACGACTAAGGGGCTGAACAACCGCAACAGAGTTGGGAAGGGGACGGAAGGGTGGACGAAGCTGACCTGGCGATGCAGTGACCTCTGTCCTTCTTCCCCTTGCCTGGATCATCACCCTAGTCCCATCTTGGCAGAATCCCACTTTCTGTCTTTCTGTCTCCATAGTTTACATGCTAGGAATAGGGACAGAGTGATATTAGACAACCAGTCCCAGTTTTTAATAAAAATTGTAAGTTGTAGCAACACCATATGCAAAGATCTGCAAAGAATGTAGAAGAGAGGGTTCTGATCTGAGACTTCTGAGAACTGTTCAGACAGATCTGGAAACTCAGGGAGGATGGGAGTGCATGGTGCCAGCAGGAGAAACAGTGATGGGAGTTTCCTGGGGTCCAGAGGTTAGGACTCCATGCTTTCACTTCAGTGGCCTGGGTTCAGTCCCTAGCGGGGAAACTGAAGTCCTGCAAGCCAAGCAGCCAAA